CCCCCCCCCCAAATGCACAAAAAAGGAGGGCCCAATAATCCTACTTGTTCTGTTTATTCCTACCTGGAATAAATACCTAAAACTAGTCCTTCTACTACTTTCTTAAATACACACATAAAATAATATCGAGATTGCTTCTGAGTCTCCTTCTCCTGCTGGAGCTGCTCATGTAATTTGCCTCCTGTATCTTGGTCAGATGTCTGCTCCTAATTCTCAAAGATCACACACTTCCAAAGGGCATGCTTACTTCTTTCCAGAGAAGCAGCGCAGAATGGATTCCGCTACATGGTAATGCGGCCCACGACGAAACCTCCTGATTGATACTGCTTGCTGAATAGAGCTCATTTTCTGAAAGTGTACCTACAGAGTTTCGTGTGGTGTCATCCCGTCTCCTGTGACCTATCGGTAGCTCCTTTGACTGGGTTTCAGAATTGTGAATTGGTTCAGTGGCAGATTCAAAAATCTTCCTTTTCATCCTGACTGCTGTCCTCAGAGCCGTTTCTCTCCCACAGGGCGTTCTTTTTTAAACTATCTTTTCTAAGGGTTTTTACTATAACCCCATAGGGATTCAAGTTTTATCTTCCGATTTTTCTTTTCAACATCAATTAGTTGGAGAGGCAAACTGAGAAAAGATAAATCTACAGTTTTGAACTAGGAAGGTAATTCAAAGCTGACATTGGCTTATGACTTGCTCTCCTTTCCCCTTTAATATTTGATGACACAAAATACGAATGTACAATACATGTTTGTAGAATGGAATTGAGCTTTTACGGAAATGTTCAGGAATGGAAAAAATGGCAAAGTAAAAAAACCAATGAACCAAACCAAAAACAAACAAACAAAAAATAAAAACCCAGACAAAAATCAACCTCTAGACTCTAGAGTGAAACATCTGTTTTAATTCCCTCACTCCTTTTAATTGCTCCTATACATAATATACTGATGTCAAAGGAAAGAAAATTAGCTCTAAGTCAAGTTAAGGGACACCTTTTAAAAACTGTGGGTGTCTAACTGGATCACAGAAGTCTTTGCGTCCATCTCTTGTGAGGCTTCTATGAGTCTGGCAAATTTCAAGAGGAGTTAAAGCAGCAACCCCATGGAACAGTCTACTGAGGTATCCCCAACAGTGTGGGATTGAATGACCACTTTAAAAATGAACAACAAAAAATGCTTTATAGACAAAACTATTTCTTCCATTCATAGGCTATAAAAGTCCTGTGAGTAAACAGCCTAGATGTATTCAGTGCTGTGACAACGATGTAAGACAAGGACAGGGTTAGGGAAGAATTACCATGGCACTGTTTTTTTTACTAATAATTTCTAGTTTAATTTTTTTGGTAGGTCAATGGATATGAAAGGCAGAAATAATCCTATGGCACTAATACCAGCTTGGGTTTCTATTGGTTTAAATTAAAGAACCAACTTGAGCAGGGTGTATATATGCGTGGCATGTATTTCTACGGCCTTCAAAAAGAGCACATTGAGTGGCGGTATGGACATGAGCCAGGACCAAGGACCCAGAGGAGGAGAATTCCCAGAGGCTGGCTGCTTCTTTGGCTAGGAGCTGTTTTTAGTTGGTAAAAACACACTTTCCACAAGGAAACACCTTCTAATTCTATATGACTTAAAGAAATTGCAGAGCCAGAAAATCATTTTGCTTTGTGGCTTTAAATGATTATGTTTGTGTCTTTTGTTCTGTTCAGTTTTGTTTTGTTTCCCCTGAAATGCACCATTACTTCCAAATTTCATGGTCGTCTACCACCATTTAAGTTTTGAATATAAAAACAAGTTTTCCTTTTTAAAATCTTCTCTCTCTCTTTTAACATAAATAAATCAGACATTCTAAAGCTATCATTTAAACATGAGTGCTTACATTCCTGGGAAATAAATAATGCTGGCCTAGTTCTGACAAGTTAGTTTCTTTCTAAAATATAAATTCTCAGTTTTAACTTAATGTTCAAAACTTCTGATATAACCAGTTTTCCAAAAGTGCTTCTTTTAGATATTTTACTCAAAGTCAAATGATAAAAAGATTTTAATTTTGTTTAGAAAGTACAGAATGATGAATCGATTTTGCAAAGTATTTCAAAGTAGAGGAGAAAATGATTTGGGAAATAATGAGTTGCCCTGCAGTAGACAATCTATCCAAAAAGACATTACACCTCCAATATGGGGAATTGTTAAAACTATTGTGCATTCGTTTCAAAAGAGATAAAACAATTATCACATTTGGACTACTGCAAGTAATACACTTAGTAACGTTTGGCCACAGAAGAGGACCATAAATTCTGGTTACAGAGATCCTTGTGAGCATATTGTGTAATGTAGAAAACGCTGGATATAGAGGCATTTCCTTAAACAAAGGAAATGCTCCTTTTTTTTTAAAAAAATGAGCTAACTAAGATAATGCTAAAAGAGTGATAGGAATTTCCCCAATTGTCAAATGAATCCCACTCTGGAATGATTTTTTCCAAGTTACCAAGTATCGAATGCAATTCATATTTAGTGATTTATATTATAAAAATATGCTCTGGCCCTGGCTGGTGTGGCTCAGTTGGTTGGGCGTCATCCCATGCACTGAAAGGTTGCTGGTTCGATTCCTGGTCAGGGCACATGCCCAGGTTGCAGGTTTGATCCCCAGCAGGGGGTGTGCAGGAAGCAGGGAATGGGTTTCACTTTCACATAGATGTTTCTCTCTCTCTTTCTCTCTCTGTCTCCCTTCCCCTCTCTCTAAAAAATAAAAAAAAAAATCTCTAACAAAAATGCTCTGAAACATTTGGAGCATTTATGTTTTACTGCAATAGCTATATGCCATCAAATTCGTATGCTTGCTGATTCTTCCTGGTTCAGAGCCTGTCTGTAAGTCACGCTCCATTGACTGACTCATAAATTAAAGAAAGTTTCAAAGAAAACTAGAAAGAAACAAGATTTTTTTCTTTTGGTAATGCTTCATGCACTAGGCTAGAAAAGTTTCCCCATAATATTTAAATGAATAATTCATTGATTCAATAGGTTAACACTTGAGAAAGAAACATAACCCATAGGAGGTCAAACATTTAATACTCACTATAGAGAATGGTCCCATTCAAAGTGTTTGTTTTTATAGTCAAGTAGATGGTAATAATTCTGTTATGTTCCTTCCCCAGGACAAACTTCCACTCATTTAGGGTTGCAAAAAAAGGCAGTTCTAAGTAGGAATTCCCGTTGAAAGATGGAAAAAATAAACCTGCATCTAATAAAAAAAACTCACGTTAATATATTCTGATATATTATTGTATTGCTAATCAAGCAGATGAGAACATAATGTTAATAGTTAGCATTCATTTAAAAAGATAAAAACTGATATTTACAAATATTATTTAGTCCCAATTTTAAGAAATTTAGATATGTAAGTACAATAAGTTTGTAAAGTTATTGTCTCATATAATTAACCACCAGTCTAGAGGAAATGACAAAGCAAGAATCTAAATTTTTTTGTTCATGGATGAGCTTTAAAGGTGGATAAACACCCTGAAATTGTATGAAGAAAATCTGTGTCCCTGCATATGTGAAATAATAGTTTTCATTAGATTTTTAATATTTCCTGTGGTACAAGTGGCTGGACATCAAATTAATACACTTAACATCGATAAAGTTTATTTGATATAATCAAACCTCAATAAAAAACAAAAAAAAAAACCCAGTGACACAAAAAGATTAGAAAATTGTCACATTATTTTTATTAACAGTCATTAATATTTAGTGTCTTTCACTGATATATAAGATATTTTATAAGGAGTATTACTATACTATACAAGGTTTTTAACAATTTTTAGGGCTATCCTTTTAGAATTCTTAATCTTTGATTAATCTCAAAATCTTGAGACATAAATTTTAAAAAGTATTTCTTTTACTGGCATGTTTAGATCTATGGACTTGGTACACTGAACAAGTGTATTACATAAGATCTTGAAAATACTTTATTTTTTTGTCTCTCTCACAATGGGAAAGTTTTCTTTGCCTCTGGGTGAAAAATTGGCAACCCTATGAGTCGTACTTTCTTTCTAAGTGATACAATAATTAAAAAAACAAATATCCAGTCTAAGAAATTTATCAACATTTACATTTTCCTTCATAGATATGACTTCCCCTGCCCCTCTTCACCAGTCAAAGCCTGTAGAGTACCTGACACCTGTTGTCTGTCTTGAGGGGCAGGAAGAAGCTGGTTTTTATTCTTTTTCTCTTCTTACCACCTCCCCTTTAGGCTAGTTGCTGTTTCGGACCTTTCTAGCTTTAAATGGGAGAAGACAAGGTGCAGTGGAAAGAAGTAGAGTAAAGGAGAGCTACTAGAGTTGGTGATTAATATTGTAAGCAGGCCTCTTGCTCTCTAGGAATAGCAGATGTTTGAAATGGTAGGAATATCAGATAAAATACAGGATGCTCAGTTAAATTTCAATTTCAAATAAACAACAAATACTTTTTTTAGTAGATTTCATGCAATGTTTGAAACATAATTGTACTAAAAATGATTTGTTGTTTATTTGAAATTCAAATTGAACGGAGTGTCCTCTATATTTAGGCGTTAAGCTGTTAAATCTGGCAACCCTATGACTCATGAGGATTTGTTCAATCTTAAGAAACACTTTGCCAACTCCAATTCCTAGCACGTGTGCTATAGCCTGTCTTTGGTTTGTCACTCTTAACTTGGTCCCATTCTGATTTTTCACATTATGTACAGACTCCTGCTGTTGACAACCACTTTCTTGTGTCAAAGAAAAAGTTGCACTGGACAAAGTTAAACAGGCAAGAAAGAGTTTATGTGAGGCTAATGCAACAGTGGAGAGAGGCCAGAATTCAGTCTTTGCTCAACTTCTCTGAAACAAAAGGTGTGAGAGTTTTTAAGAACTGAGGTAAAGGGATCATAGGCTACCTGTTTTGCTAGTTGGCCTTACCCCGCAAAACTTAAACTTTCTCTTATCTTTTTTGCAAAGTGTTGACTCTATTACAGATCTCCCCCATTGCCCCTTCTTTGCTTCCCTCCACCCTGCCCCCGCCCCTCCTAAGCCTTCACCACATTATTGCTTATGTCCATGGATTATGCACACATATCTCATATATATGCATATATATCTCATCTTCATTACAGGAGGTAACTTACAACTTGGAGCAAAGCACCCATTGAAGTCAGGCTCCTAGCCTCCCACAGACACTGGGTGACAGGGCCACTATTTTGATTACATTTGAAAGAGATGGCTCCCGGTCCTGCAGAAAGACATTCCAGGGCTGTGAAACTGGCAAAAAGCTTTCAAAAAGATTTACATGCCAAAGGAGCCAAAGAAAGAATTTACAATGGAAAATTTTCTTAAGTAAATTCTCTAAGAAAAGAAAGGGCAGAATCCTAGAGTCCGGAAGAAGCCTGTCTGTCTAAAATTTGGTCAAGCTGAGGGGAATGTTAACATGGTCTTGGCACCTGGCTAGAAAAACCACTAGAGCAGAATGTAAAATGACTCTGGCGAAATCTAGTTCATGGGAAACACTCCTACATTCCCTGTCCTACTGTCTGTGAGGGTATAATTTTCAAACAGTCTTCTCTTTCTTTCCCTCACCATCCTCCAACACACACACACACACACACACACACNCTTTCTTTCCCTCACCATCCTCCAACACACACACACACACATGCGCGCGCACACACACACACGCACACACACACGCAGGCTGCTCTGGCTTTCTCAGGTGTGATTGTTGGTCCACAGTGTTTCATGTGATGAGTGNTGCGCGCACACACACACGCACACACACACACACGCAGGCTGCTCTGGCTTTCTCAGGTGTGATTGTTGGTCCACAGTGTTTCATGTGATGAGTGGGAGAGGGTGAAGGGTGAGCTGGCCAGATAACTTTCTACCAAAGCATTGTCCTCAGAAGTGTGTCTCTAAAACTCCCTCCTCTTCTAATGCTGCCCCTTTTTATTTCAAGAGTATTTCCTAGTTAAATCCATCCTGCTTTTAGGTATGGCACTTCAGTTTCTTTACAGCATTATCCCGGGTCATAAAATAAAGTTTATTTTTAACATCTTGTTAATATCTATAACTTTGTATTGCCAGCTACAAATAATATAATTTATCTATTAGCAAAGTGCTTGATTTAGGTTGCATGGTAGCACATATTTTATAATTTCTTCTCCTTCTGCACACAATCTTTAACTCCTAGAAATTTACCTAACTGGCTCTTTATTTTACTGGATCTGTTTTTTTTCTCAAAGTGTTTAGGCTTAGTTAGCAAATCCTTCATCAGTGCTAATATGCCTAGAAATCTCTGTAATACCTAATAGTTACTTTTATTAAAACTTTCTCCCCCCTTGACTCTCATGACAATGTACTACAATTTAATTTGATTGTGTTCTTACTTGCTCTGTAGCATCTTTTCAGAATGTTCTTTCAACCATCCTGTAACACGCAGTTTCCAAAGCTCTGTCCTGGAACATAATTCATCTATGTCTGTTCCAAATCCGATTCTTCTCCGTTTTCTTCATCACCGCACTATTCTCCCAGGCTGAGAACCTGAGCGTCATTACCCGCCCATCTCTTCTCAAACTAGCTGCTGGTTCCTGTCACCTCTTTCTTAGATCAAATCTTGCAACTTTCCTTCTGCTACCACTGCCCTTATTTAAGGTCTCATTTCATTTCAACTCAAGTGTTGGCAACAGCTTCTTTCTAACTGGCCTCCCTTCCTGTAGTGTCCATTAGCTGTCATTGCTGTCATGTCAACGTCACGCACTTGCAACCATCTAAGAACTTCCATACTACGGAATGATTCATTTGCTTATGGAGGAAACTAGGCCCTCCACGATCTTATTTTTCATGTTTCCACACACATACACATCTACCAGTGAGGTTGAACTACATTTTCTTCTGTGGCCCTACTTGCGTGCACACTGTTCTGTTTGTCTAAAATGCCCTTCCCCATAATCCTAGGTACGTAATAAGACTTCCTTTCATTCAAGGCTCACCTTGAAAATCCTCCCAAATTTGAACTCCCTGTCACATTATAGCTACAACTCTTTTAGTGCATGCCTGTTTTCTACCTTATATTGTAGTTTTTAGAAATTTCGGGTTGAACTGATACAATAGTGTTATGTCCGACAATCAGATCACCTATTTGGTGGAAAGACAATCACTCCAGAGCTGATAATGTAACAGCAAAAGGGACTTTTATTCCAGCTAGCTGGGGTTCGGTTATATCCAACACAGTGGAATTCTGACTTGAACCCTGATCTAAATTTACAACAAGCTTATATAGGGTTACAGTGAGCAAGCAATCATTGTCCTTGCAAGGGTTGTAAATTCTTCAGGAAGGGTGGGCTCAGGATGTTTCTCAACCACAGGTGCCTGAAGGTTGAGTGCACCTGGTATTTGTCAAACCCACCGGTTTAAGTTAATTCCTGGAACTGCCTCCACCCTCTGCAGTTTACTGAGTCACTCATGTATGCTTTTCGTCCTGCCCCAGGGCCTAGGGGCCTGCCTCTGTCTTGGTGGGTCCTCACAATAGTAAATCTGAATCTGTTACATTGGACAAGGAAGGTAAATTAACTTTAACTAGTATAAACAGAATATTCTAAATAAATGAATTCTGAGAAGACGCTGGAGGCAAATGTGAGTTAAGGGGATGGATTTGCTTTCTTGTGACCAGAAAAGCCCATAACATCGTTAGAGCTGGACCAGATGGAGTAGAATGTTTAATGGATATGGAACTGCACACCCACCATTTTTTAATATATAAGGAGAAAAACCATATGCCAAATCAAGTTAAAATGTAGCTCTATACTGGAGGAAGTTTGGATGACAACTTTGGATGTGGCTATGGCAGAAGAAAATGAAATGGCTCAGATGACAAAGACAACGGACTTTGGTTTTAAATTAATAGACTCTTTATCAGATAACTTGTCAACTATTTATTTATTTATTATTATTATTTTTTTAATATATCTTTATTGATTTCAGAGAGAGGAAAGGAGAGAGAGAGAGAGATAGAAACATCAATGATGACAGAGTCATTGATTGAGCCCGCAACCTGGGCATGTGCCCTGACCGGGAATTGAACCCCAATCGCCTGGATTCTAGGTCGACGCTCAACTGCTGAGCCACGCCCGGCAGGGATAACTTGTCAACTATTCAAATGTTGCCTGTCTTGATTCTAGCACAATATGGTTTTAGACACTTTTTCTTCCTATTGCTTTTACCTATATTA